CCCCAAAACCCCAAAACCCCAAGAGCTAAGTTTATAAAATTATAGGTAGTTTAGTTTATATTACAATTTAAATTTGAATTCTCAATAATATTTACGTTAAATTAATTTTTAAGAATAATTAAAAAATTATGAAAGAAACAATCATCTTCAAAAATTCAAAAGAAAATGCTTCATATCATACGTTTCAAGAAAACTAAATCACTTCTGATTCAGTAGAATCTGAAATTAAGAGTGAATAAAAAAGAATGATCTTTGCACTTATTATATGTTGCTTCGTTGTCTCAGGATAATATGGATGTATTGGTGCATTTTTTATACCGTACAAAGTGAAAAATCATCCTTCAATAAGTGACTTTTAAGTTGGGCTTCTGCTGGCGTAAGAACCAATATTAATATTAAATCTAATAGATTTTTCGAGGTCGGAACATTAGTCTCAAATTTATTTGTGTCTAATGTAATGGCCATAGTTGGAAGAAAAAATACAATACTATTAGCACTCTCGTAGAGTTTTCTAGCTTCGATCGGAATTGGTTCAAGTTCCTACATTTAGGATGAGTAAAATAATTAAATTTAACAAATAATTTAGCTTTCTATTCTTTATTGCTACTCTGCTATTTAGATTTTATCAGGGAATATCTGATGGGCTCGTTTATGTTGCTTGTAAGTATTTGATTCTTTTAAATTGACTAAATCAACAAGTATTTATTCGTGAGTGATTCATACAAATTTTTATCAGCTTAAGTAATAAGTATGTAATAAATTATTAGGTTTTGCTATCGTATCATCTGAGTTTACTTCAATTAGAGGATAAGTATTAAGTTACTTAGAAGCTGGAATAGGAATAGGATTTATGTTGGGAGCCCCAATAGGATAGACATTTTCAATTTTAATGAGCTATCCATTTATTTTCTTTGGGTTTGGAATACTCCTTATTTTCCCATTTACCTTATCTATGCTTTTTCTTCCAAGGAGGATCAACTAATATATTGGAGATTAAGATAGTAAAAGTATGGATATTCAAGATGCAGAGGATATCTCTTATGGCAAAATATTAAGGAATAAGAAAGTCTTGTAGTCTTTGGTATTTACTAATATTGGAGTAGCAGTTATATATTTCAATTACATGCTGATAACAAATTATTTAATAACATTAGGTGTCACACCTTAATTGACAGGTAATTAATTTCATTAAATATAATAGGATACATCATTGGAATTTCGGGGCTAGCATATTTTATTTTTAGCATAATTAGCGGAATATTGGTTGATAAAGTAGAAAATTCTTATCTAGTCTAATCTGCTTTCATAACAAGCACCTTATCATTATATCTTCAAGGAACTTCTAAGTTTTTCAACCCACCTGTGTAATTTTATTATGGCTTAATTAAGACATATAGAAATTCTGTAGCAAGAGTGATAATTGGAATAGTGCTTGCGGATTTATCCGTTGCATTATTATGCACTTCCTTTCTTCCAAATATCATAAAGGCTGTTGAAGAAAAAGAAGACTTAAAGGAGAGTAATGACTAACTCATGGATAAAGCTTCAACTCTTTACATTCTATCTTATACATTCTCTTGCTTAATCGCACCTCTTTTAGGTGGTTATTTGAGTGATAATTTTGGATACAACAAAGCATGTGATTTAATGGGAATGACTTTAGCTTTTCTTGCTATTCTGTATTTCGTAGTGAATATATTGATTAAAAATTTGAAAGCATGAAAATGTGAAATTAATTAATTTGATTAATAATGGACTATTTTTATTTTTTTCCAAAATAAATTCATCAATAATTAGAAATAATTGGTTTATGGGGTTTTGGGGTTTTGGGG